AAGGTAATACCAAAAAGGAGGTTTTTAATTTATGTCAGTGACTACCAACAATTGTTGGTGGACACCCCCTTTTGGAAGTGAATCTGCCTTAATATTAGCCTCATAAAAACAATGATAAATTTCAACTGAAAATGAAGATAGCAAAACTTTAATTTCATCAAGTATGGCCCGAAGTCTCCAAGCAACAATTTTTTTGCAGAATCTCTCTGATAATTTTATGGACCTCTATCCTTCAAAGTAACGTACAGATTCAAGCAATGCCTATGCCTCTTCCACATTAACAATTTTCACACTACAAAGACCTGAATAGGTAATTAAGGTTCTTCCTAGGGAATCTCTAATAAGTCTACTAAAACCTGCCATACCTTGATTCTCAAAGGAACTTCCATCGAAATATTTAGCTTAATACAACTTGGCGATTGAGGACACCAAATAGCTTGTTTGAGGCACTAAAATCTTAGAAACCTCCAAAAGATTAAGAATTACTTGGTCGAAAGACATCAACCTTCCATATTTATGAATCTTCATCCACTCAGCTGCCATCACCAATATGTTGGATTTTAGAGTACTAGCTTCCAATGAGATATCTTTAAAAATCATTCTATTCCTCTCCTTCTATATGCTTCACATCATGCTAGACCACCAAGATCTCCAAAGTCAAGTACCGAGGTTTGGGAGGCCCAATAAGCTTAATTGGAGAGGAAGAACACCCAAGCTCGAAGGAAGATGAATAAATAAATTTATCAATTGCATACTCCAATCCTATAGCATCATAATAAAAGGACAATGAAGAAATAAATAGTTCATTGTCATATTTGCAGAAAATGCAGACATCCACAATAAAAAGGCATCTCTTATGAAGATTGTCAATTGTAGCTAACTTCCCTTGACAAACAATTCAAAGAAAAGCTCGTACTATCAATGGAATGCACATCTTCCAAATCCTGTTCAGATTTGGCTCATCTACTCTACCATGGTCCCTATTGAGCAGAATATAGACTGATTTGACTGAAAAATCTCCCAGATTCATGAGGGCCCATATAAAAGTGTTTTCCTTGGTAGGACACCAATGAGTAGATTGAAGCAAGTCTATCACTCACTCAAACTCATTAATAAAAGTATTTGGCATCATCCTACATGTAACACAAAGACCATTTAGGGTTAGTATCTTCCCCCTAACCTCCAGAATAGAAGCAAGGGGATTTGAGACCTTACAGAAGACCTCTAGGAAAGCAAATAAGATAGCCACTTCTCCAATCCATCTATCCCACCAAAAGCAGGTGTGGTCTCCTTTATCCACAAGCTTATGACTATGTTGCAGTTAAAAGGGCCTACAGAAATCAATGGCCTTTCAAAATAAACGACAACTTGGTTTTGGATCGAGGGCTTTTAATTCGTCCAATACTAGTATCTTCCCCATACTTCTATCTGAGCACCTCACACCACAAACTATTATGTTGAGATTGGTATCTTCACCACCACTTTGTAAGAAGACTAATATTGATCATCTTCATCTTTTGATACCCATCTTTACAATAGTATACACACTATCCTATTTGACGAGATGGAGCATCTTATCATTCCCATAAGAACCCCACAAGAAATCCCTCATGGTTTTCTCCAATTGCCTAACCATTTGATTTGGCATAGGAAAAAGAACTTATAATAAATAGGTCGGTTAGATAGAGTTGACTTGATCAAGGTCATTCTACCCCAAATGGAAAGAGTATTCGATTTCCACAAATCGAGTTTTTTGTTCATTCTTTCAATAATTGGATCTCATATGTATCTCGAGAGATGATTGGCCAATAATGGGATCCTGAGCACTTACAAGACAACTTATTCACACCATACCCCAATATTCCAACAAGATTTAATATTTTATCGTTTGAACATCCAATACCAATAAGTTTAGTTTTTCCCAAACCAATTACCAGCTCCATCCATTTGAGAAAGATCCATAAGTTCTTAACCTCTGTCTCTGTAGAATCATAAAAATAGTTGTATCATCCACATATTATAGATGCGACACTATTAGCCCCCTATTACCAACTTCAACTTTTGAAATCAGACCCCTATTCACTACATAATTAAGCATACACTAAAACTTTCAGCAACAATAGTATATAAAAAAAGCGAAAGTAGGTCACCTTGTCTTTAGACCTCTTAAAGCAACTTGGAAGGATTAATGTGATCCAAAATTTTAGGCTCCATCAAAGTGTTTATTTTCACAAGAAAAATTTGGATTTTAAGTTCTTGATTACCAAAATGAAAAAAAAACCAACTTACATGATCTTGTTCTCTGAAATAGAATTTTTACTTAAAAAGAGTAGCAGTCAAAATAAAAAGAAAGAAAACTGATTTTAAGCTCTTGAACACCAAAATGAAAAAGGAGGAATTTACATTACAACCAAAAGAAAAGAGATTATAAAAATGAAAAAAGAAAGAGGTTACATTAGAACAAAAAAGAAAAGAGATTATATGTTTCATAACAGCATGATAGACATTCTATAATCAGGGTAGTAGTTAGCTTGACAGATACACTTGTCGTGCAGGTACCATGGAAGATATGGCTACAGGGATACAACTCATTGACAAACTCTCCATCCATGAAACTCTCCCAACAAATTACGCAGTTGTCAGTCTTCGAAAAATACTCTCAAAGACACTATGTCACTTCCAATCTTTGATGTTGGGACACTATTGATAAACTCTGGTGGGAGTGGCTGGTTCGTGTTCGTCCCCTCTTCATCATCAGAGAATTCTTCATCTTCCTCATCAAAGGTTTATGGGTTCTCTTCATCCTCCTTGTTATCACGTATTTCTTTCCTTGTGTTTCCATAAATGAAGAACAAGATGATGAACAAGGCAAATTGCAGGATTCCGATAAGTATAACAAATCTACCAATGGCGAAGGAGAATTCAACTATCAAGGTCTCAAGAATTATACCACGCTCACCACGTCTATCAGTAGCCAAGGCGAATTCAAGAATCATGAGAGTTACAACACGGAGGCTGATGGCAGGCAATGCTTCTTTCACTATCTGACTCCAGGGAACCATTATATAATATTAGTTTTAAAAAAGAAAAAGAAAGAGTTTACATTACAACCAAAAGAAAAGAGATTATATGTTTCTT